TTCTCTTTACATAAAATGTCGTGGCATCTGTTTGATATTAAAAAATCACGTTAAATTTATTTCATAATACAAAATTCCATTAAACGTATATTTTAAATAAATCTAATAGTTCATTATATGATGCTAATAAACAAAGTCCGGACCCTGTCACAGAGTTCGAGTCCCTGTCCAGTTCCCCCACTCCGTTAACCTTTCTTTAGAAATTGGCAACATTTGCGCAGGTTAAACACCGGTGTATGTTATATCTCTGGTCTCTTTTATCTAAGGGTTTTTAATACTGCGCAAATGTTGCCAATTTCTAAAGAAAGGTTAACGGAGTGGGGGAACTTGGCAGGGACCCGAACTCTGTGACAGGGACCGGACTTTGTTTATTAGCATCATAATGAACTATTAAAATATGCGTTTAATGGAATTTTGAATTATGAAATAAATTTAACGTGATTTTTTAATATCAAACAGATGCCACGACATTTTATGTAAAGAGAAGACCTTTTATAGAATATTTCGTTAGCTATTATTTACTACGGACTTTTCTGTAAGAGACTATAGTAAAATGTTGAAATAGAATATTTTTAATCGAGTAAGAAATGGTACTCATTGTCTAAGAGTATTATAAAAAAAGCATGTGCGCATAATATTAAAAATTAGTCAAAATAAGATAAAATGCTGTTTTGTATTATAACCTCAGAAAAAGATATATTAAAGGTTGTTTCTTTAGGAATATTAATTAATATAGAGGATGAGTCACATAAACTCTAGAAATGCATATGTCTGAAACCAGATAACATTTTAAAATTTAAACCTATTAAAAGTCATTTGGTCGCTAGGAGTGGGTGATTATCGAAATAAATTATTGATCATTAATAATAATCGATTATTTTCAATCAATCGATTATTTTCAAACAATCTATTTTTGTTCGTATTTCCTTTAAAATCGACTACTTGATTATCTTTGAAAAATCAAAAATAATAGATTAATTAAAAAGCCAATTAACCGATAAATCAGTGTTTACAAAAAATAATAAACGAATTATCGTTTATTTTAAATAAATTATTTTTAAATAATCTATTTTTTTTTTCGTATTTCCATTAAAACAGATTATTCGATATTCTCTGAAAAATCTAAAATAATCGCTTAATCAAAAATAATCGATTAAGGGACAATAACCAACCGATTCTACGATAAATCGATTTTCCAAAAAAATAACTAATTAACGAATATTTTCAAATAATCCTTTTGTTTTCATATTTCATTTAAAATTGATTATTTGATTATCTTTGAAGAATCGAAAATAATCAATTAATAAAAAGCTGATTGACCGATTAATCGATAATTCTAAAAATAACCGAAATATTTATTATATAAAATAACCGATTATATTCGATCAATCGATTATTTTCATATAATCTATTTTTTCGCATTTTTTTAAAACAAATTATTCGAATACCTTTGAAAAATTGAAAATAATCGAATAATCGAAAATATTCGGTTAATCGAAAATAACCGATTAAGCGAAAATAACCAATTAATTAAGAAGCCGATTCTACGATAAAAAAAAGAAAAAATATCGTTACTATACAATGGTAGATAATTGAATAATTAAATTACAATAAAACATTTTTATTAAAGAGTATAAATAGATACAAACCTCAATAAAATAATTTAGTTGTTGCTTGAAGCGTTTCTGTGTAATGATAATAATTTTCGTCTTTTCATATTTCTAGCAACACTAATAAATATTTTTAATAATGAATGTAAATGTAATTCATTATCACATCTTGGGAGGAAATATTTTTTTTATACTCATTATTATAAAAACATCAAAATTGCATAATTGTCGATTGAGAACACAAACATTCTTGATTCACAGATGACACATGCATTGCTGTCGCATTTCCATTTTCTTGTTTATTAGTTGTCGTTTTTTAAAACAATGAAACTATAAATATGGTGAAATTTTAAACATAAGTAATACTTTTAAAAACATTTGATATTTTATATTCAAAAGATATTTGTTTAACGATATTTTAGAAGTCAAAGTAAGACCATAGAAAAATAAAAAGTAAGACGGTGCACACAAACTATAACGTACATTACTTTTCGCATACCGTCTAACTGGCAACGTTGTGTGGCTAGTTCCTATTGGTTTATTCCCGGTGACGTCATAATTTTAAAAAATTAATAACTCGAGCAAATGAATAGATAAAAAAAAATTTTAATGTAGCTTTATTTTGAACTCTATTATTTATAAAAAAAAATTCAAATTTTTTGAACATGCCCCATTCTTTAACATGCACAGTGTCCGATTTCAATGATTCTTTTTTTCTTAGAAAGGAGGTACCTCCAGGAGTGGTCCCATATAAATTTGGTCAAAATCTAATAATTGGGTTCATGAGAAAATTCTCAAACTCTTCATTTTTTATGTATATTTAGCGATAATTCTTTACGACCTTGTCCGATTTCTATGATTTTTTTTGTAGTAGGGGAGTACCTCAGGGGTGGTCCCATATAAATTTGGTTAAGATGTGGTCACGGCATCTGCACGATTTTGAAGTCGGTTTTTTAAAATTACTTTTATTACTTGTTACACCTTTCTACAATAAACAGTACACATCCAGACAAATCTGAAAAGTTGACTCCAATCTTTTCAAAAGTGGTAAAATATATTGTGTATACGCGAAATTAAATTAACTAATTTGTCTGAATTTCTTACAAAGGCAAAATATATTTTAAAAAAAGTAATAAACTTTTGTATGTTTTAACGGTGTTTTCGAATTTTCGACAGATTTTCGTTTTATATCTAAAAATAAAAACGTAAAAAAATTGGAAGTGTTCTACAAATTATTTACCTAAAAAAACAAAATACAAATAATAGCTTTGTTCGCGGAGCCTGTCGGCGACATGTACACGACAGATGAGCATGCGTATTTCAATTTTAAGCGTTTGTAGAGTCGAAAATCGAACGCTCTAAACAACTTAAAATCGAAATGCGCATGTTCATCTGCCATGGACATGTGACAGACAGACTCCTCGAACAAAGCTATTAGGTTTGTTCCAACAAAGCGCTAAAACGATAATATTTCGGTACAGATCATGCGCTATGTACAATTTTTGTGTACAGCGCATGATTTGTACGGAAATATTATCGTTTTCGCACTTGTTGGAACAAACCTATTGTTCCCAAAGTGTTTAAAAAAGACATCCAGGGGGTCGATTCTCGACTCGTAGGAATTTTTTCCCATAGGAATTTTTGACATTTTTCTATATATCTGAACTTTATGACACTTTCCTATATGTAGGGAAATGTCATAAATTTTCTATAGGTCTTTTTCTTTGCATCGAAAGTGTAGCACTGAGCTACGTTACTTCTGAAAATATTGTTCCATCCATACAATTTGTATAAATAAATGGAACGATATTTTCAGAAGTGGTGTAGCTCGGTTCTACACTTTCGATGCAAAGGAAAAGACCTTATGTATAGAAAAATGTCAAAAATTCCTATTAGGCATTCCAACGATCTGTCCAAATGGCTACCAGTGGGTAATGACAGTTTATATGGCAACCCTGTTGTCATGTTGTCATTAACAGGGTCAATGATACATATATAGTTATATAGATTGCTCAAAGCTGGTCGTTTATGAGCGGCCATATTGCCTGGCAAATATTTATTAATTTGAATCGGTTTAGCAAAAATGTGTTTTAAAACCAATTTTTAGCCTTTAGATATTTAAAAAAAAAAATAATTGCTTACATTTTTACTTCAAGGCATAAGCTTATGTTTATTTTGAAAAATATGGATGATCAATCTATGTAACTATATATTTCATTGACCTTGTTAAATCACCAGGCCTACAGGGTTGCCATAATTTTGCCATATCATAACCCGTCAAAACCCACTAGTAGCCATTCAGTTTGGAATGCCGAATAGGAAAAAATTCCTACGAGTCGAGAATCGACCCCCAGGGGATCGATTCTGGATGGAAAAGCAGTTAACTGTGTCCTATGCCCATGGAGGTACAAGGTAACTATGCCCAAGGTTGACTACTTTTCCGGATATGTCCGTCGGATTTAATAAGGTCCATATTTATCATTTATAAACAGAACTTACCTGAGTCGGACACCTACCTTGATATTAAACTGGATTCCTAATTTCTAAGCCGACATGGGTGAAAAAAACGGTCGGTGCGCATGTCAATTTTGAGCATTCTACGTCACGTTTTCCGAATATTGGAACATTTGTTTCAGCTGCGTATTAATAAAAAATAATTTTTAAGTGATTTTCTTAAATTAAAAGGTGTCATAGTTGAATGTATTAAATGTTAAATTTAATTTTGATGATCCCTTTTAGTGCATTTAGATACGCACATGTGGGCGCCAAAGTGTCAAATATCACCTCACTATGCGGCTTTTTATCTTTTTATCCAACGTTTGCTGCGTTTGAGAATCCACATCGGATGCATCTGAGATGTAGTAAATCTTTTTCCAACACACTACTGTTATTTTCCGCCTGTTACGTTCTAATTTAACAGTTTTCCAACATACGAACTTGCCTCGTTACTTTTAAAATTCGGCATAACATGTACGTTACGGATAACGTAAACGTTCAATCAGACGACCCTAGATCACGACAGCTATGGATTGCGGGAATTATTCAGAATCACGGTGGACACCGTGATCAGAATTAAGGAGTTAATTAATTATTTTATTATTTTTTTGTGGGAAAACTGAAAAAATGAGATTTAAAAAAATATATGCTCCAAATTAAAGTAAATAGGTACATTCAAATAAAGTTATAAACACAAATTTTAATCCAAAATGTCAACTGTTATTTATTTCAACGGTCAACCATAAATAACATGTTCAGTGGTTCGATAGTTCGTACCACAAAGCACAGTGCTTTGTGGTTCGTACCGATGTCGCGAAAAAACATAAACTTAAAATATCGCGTAACGCGAGAAAACTTCTACTGTTTCTGTCAAACGTCGCCCGTGACACATATCTGTCAGTTTAAATCATTTTAGATTTTTAGAGCGTCTTGTTTTATATTTTTGTGTGTAGTGTATTTTAAAAAAGAATTGCGTTGTGTATTTTACATTGTCGTGTTAAGAAGTGTTTTTAGCAATGTAGAAAACAGGATAGTTGCGAGATTTCCACTTGTTGGTTAAAATATGTAAGGAACGAGAAAATGGCGCCATTTTAATGTATTGTGTTTGTCCCCTTTTTCCATAAATTTCTATTTTTACAGTAAATGTAAAGGCAGTAGAACCAGTTATTCATTAATTTCTTTCATATCTGATTGTCAAAATGAACGATACTCCGAAAACTACCGTAGATTCAGGTTATTTTGAAACATCTATATCCTCTCCTACGCTTCAAAATGATAATAATACTCCACTATTCGGTACATGTCGCAAAAGAAAAGCTTCTTGTATTGAAAAATGTCCAAGAAACCTATCGGGTGTTCTGGATTATTATTCTCCACAGTTTTCGAGTACCTTGAATGAGTCGTTGATGAACCACCTTGAACAAATACATTTAGAAAATGACCAAGAAAAAGGTAAATACTTATGGTTATTTATTCAGCCTCTTAAATTAATGACATTTTATAGTTATCCTTAAACATTACATATTAATTGGCTATACTATATTTCGTTTTTAATTATTTTTGTTTACAATTTGGTTAATTTTTTAGTGCCTTCTATTGATACTCGAACATCCACCACACAATTAAAAACTATTGAAAATAAAAACAGAAGGTCCTGCTCAGTTCCTAACACTCCTGAACAACAAGTCAAATGTGCAAGAGATTCCATTTCAAAAAGACCAAACACAAATAGTTTTGTAAAAAATTTCTCTCAGTTTGGGATACAGAGTCAGTCACCTCTTAACAAAGAAGTCTATAGTATCTTATATCCTGAACTACCTAGTTTAGAACCTATTAAAAAACCAGCAACACCATTGAAAGTAGAAAAAGGGTGTTCACAAGCTAAAAAAAGATTGTTCTACCAGCCCAGACTTAGTCCCTTGAGACAAATACTCTCAAACAGTATAATAATGAACAAAATATTAAAGCAGTTATCAAATGGAGACTTATACAGATTAGCAAAAGTATCTATTAGATTCAGAGAGGCTATTTTGAATGATTTTGAATCTTGTAGTAGGTTTTTGGAATACACCCAGTTTTACAAAAATCATAAGGAGAATTACAAGATTACTCCACCAAATTCTCCAGAAAAAGATGATGAAATGGACATAGAAGGAAATCTAGATTCCAAGAATTTTACATATTTTTACCAAGTAAGAAATTTAGTCCTTTGAATTTCACCAAATTTATAAATTCATTGGATTTAGTTTGTATTTTAAATATGTTTAATTAGAAAATATGAGATTGCCTGAATGATAAAGAGTAAAAATGTATTTGATTTTTTTTTTGTTTTTAAATTAGTTTTGAATATATTTTTAATTACTGAGCTGAACTTTTGTCAGTAATTAAAAATATGTTCTTCTGAGGGACCCTGGATGCAATGGAATTATTTGTCATTGGTTCCACTTGTATTTTCTCATATAAAAACTGTATTTGGATGGCTATGAAGTGGATTATCAGGATATCTTATTTTTGTTAACTGTTATTACTCCTAATAATGACATTAGATGAAGTTTCAGCTGAAGAGTCAACTTCTAAAAATTGTGCTTTTTTATTAGGTTTATTTGGTTCCAGCCACACCAATAATACCATTTTTAAATTATTTGTTGATTTAAGTTATAAATATGAAGCCAAACTAATTTGTTTTATTTTGTGACATATTTTGATGAGAATTTCATTTAAAAATGCCAATTTATTTTTGTTGCTCTGGATAGAGGCTTTATTTAAAATATCTTTAAAGATAGTAGAACTACTTTTATGTATTTTTGATCATAATCTTGAAATCATTGAATATCAAATGCATTAGGCATTCCAAACAAAAGAACTGTCAGTGGGAATATTTGGTATGTCAAAAAGGTTGCAACATGAGATGAATTCTATCTACAATACTTGAAATCATAAATAATGGATTAAATTTAAATATTTTATGTCGAACACAATGGAAATATTAAAAAAAATCGCTTATACATTTTTCATAAATTGGCAGGTTTGGTGACTACTATTTTGAATAAAAATAGAGTCCAAGATGCAAGGCTATGTCACAAACCTCTTAGATATAGGATCCCTTCACACCAACAGCTTTTGTTTGACAGGTCGTTTATAATTGGCCTTTCCTATTATTCGACAATTTCGTATTACTCATGCACGAAAAAAGTGCGGGACTTTTGAATCTAGTAATTTTCCAAACACTTTTTGCTATCTCTTTCTTACCTTGCCTTACAACTGGTGGGTTGGCTATGATGATTACCCCATGTCATGTCATAAACTGTAATCGATTCTATATAGTAGGGAGCCAGCGATACTTTTTTAGTACCCTTTAGAAGATGGAAATACTTTGTTGCAATCGATCTAGCGGTGAAATGCCCTGTCAGCAAGCAAGAAGGTACCTACTGTGAGCCAAATTTCAAGAAACTTTTCTAGTCACTTTTGTTGTAAATAATATCTTCAAGTTTCAAGTCTGGACAGCATATTCTACATAGGCTTTTTTAAAATGTCATCGTCAAGGGCTCCATCGCTGTATAGCAAACTATTTCCATGTTCTACAAGGTAAGAATGAACAATATATTTGTAATTAAATTTACCTTTAACAAAAAACACACTTAAAAGTATCACTGGCTCCCCTACCATTACTATCGAATTCAAAAACAAAATGACATTTGTGGATATGTAATTGGAACTCGAAGGTAGGAAACAACAACAATACATTTTGATGATTAAAAGTGTAAGTAGAATTTGCGCATGAGTAATGGAGATCATCAATAACGGGAAAGGTCCATTGTCACTAATTATATTGTAAATGTAAATTCTGAAGACTAGACCAAGATCAGAGTATTTTTTATAGTATAGAGCTCTCATTAATTGATAAATTTTGATATTTGAACATTTATTTATTTAAGTAGATAGTACAAGTTCAGTATTACATTATATAAGGTTAGTATATACTAAAGTGTTTCTTAGATTAATCCACATTGTTTACAATATTCTAAAGGTTTGTTTGTAAATAAAACTTATTAAATTAAAGCTAGTGCCTAACTATAGGTTTTGTACTTGTACAGTTCATTGATTTTTAATTTGTTCATGTCAAACATGTTTTCGCAAATTTAAAAATATGGATTCAGATTTTGAATTATCTGACATAGAAAATAATGTATTTGGTTAGTTTATGCAGTTGATCCATTATATAGTTTTAGTATTTGTTAATCACTTTATTAAATAAAATAAATAATTGAGTTTACATCAAAGTGTCAGTCTTAAAAAAAATATTGCACGTCATGAGACCGAAAATTAGTGTTAAGCAGGTCTCGCCAAGCTTCCATGCCTTATGCCACTGTCAAAGTTTATTTAGCTGATATTTTCAATTTTAACACCCTGTATTTTGTAAATGAGTAATATTTTATCTATGAAGACTAGAGAGAAGGAGGCGAATCGGCATACTCACAATACGGTTCTAAAAAACGCACGCTAATTGAGCTTTTATAATTAACCACATGGGCGCTGGTACTGCTTACGGTGTTCAAAATACAGGAATTCTTATGGGAATTATACATAATTTTGTCAAAATAATAAAAATAAACTTGTTTATAGCTAAATAAAGCACAGAACATACTGTTGTATTTATTTTTAAATAAGTCTTGCATGTTTTAATTGATAAATTATTTAATTTTATCTATATAAAATACAAATTAGGAAGATATGACCAAATTCGAAAAGATGTGTTAAATGCTGAAATTTGATAAGTACAATTTCGTGGCAAATTTTTTTGAATTGAACCTATATGTAAGTTAAATTTAATGTATAATTATTGTTGTTTGGAAGTCAGTACCTATGACTGTAAAATTTTATATTATAGTAACTTGTAATAAAATAAACTACACTCCGTAAGATACATATTGTGACTAAACAATTCAAACAACATATTTAACAACGATGCACTTCGCACTGAATCTGAGTATGCATCCGCATCAAAACAGTAAAGAGCAGCTCTAGCAGTTTATGGCCGTTTGACCAATAGCATTGCATATTCCAGCAAGCCACGGGGCGATCACGTGCTGATCATTGTTTACATGTGCTGAATCTCGGATTGGAATAGACTTTAGTTTACAATAAATATTATATTTACACAAATACTTTATTTTACTTACATTAGAAGCTTTAAAAAGACATTAAATTGATCTCACCTTGTGTTTTCTTTAGTTTTACATTTGATTTGTATCCTGTTTTACAATCTTGAACGACGTAAATCTTGCTTTGATGTTTTTTGTCACTCAGGTACTTTTTTTTACATTATTTCGATTCTTTTCACCAATTTTTCAAAAAATTACTTCATTTTACATTGATTTACATAGAAAATTGACACCGCTGTTATTCGACATGCCAACTACAGTCAATTTCGCGAACTTTATAAAAAGAAGGACGGAAATTTGACCATTGCTGATTCGCCTCCTTTTCTCTAGTTTTCATGATTTAATCTAAGCATGTTTTGTTTAATCGTCTTATTTTTAACCAGATACGTCAGTTGCTCTGTCATATTTGTAATGAGTTATAGCAGAATTAGACCCAATTTTTTTTCATAATACTTAGATATATTATTTTCATTCAATAAGTACATATTTTCAGTTTGCTACAAGTCTGAACAAGAATCAATCTTTAATGAAATGTCCAATATGTCAAAAACCTTCCATAGTTGAAAATGATATTGCTCAGTGTCAGGATATCAATAGATGTGGATATATATTTTGCAAGAAGTGTAATAGCTTCTCACACAATCCAAAAGAATTTAAAGATAAATGCAACAATGCACACCTCATGAATAACACAAAGTCTAGGTAAGTTTTATTACCCACACATAATTTTAGAAAAATGCACCAAATAACACTGTTAGAGCTTGAGAATGGTGAACTGGTAGGCCATTGTAGATATTAAAATATCTAAAAATTAACTTTTTAATAAAACATTTGAACTTTTCAAAAATAAAGTAATTTTCCTTTTTAAAAACTTACGTGTGGAACATCCTGTATATGAGTAATTTGTCTCATATTTGTCATTTCTTTGTTTTAGAATACATTTTTAATATGGATGTCCAAATATTTTGAAAAATAAATTTAAACGCAAATTTTGTTTGTCTAATAGTTGCAAATATTTGTATTTTTATGTTTGTAATTATGCAGTTTTTGACTATATTAATGTCTATTTTTTAGAAACTTCTTTGGAGATTTAAGCAATTCAACAATGACTAGCGACTATGGTACAGGCAATTCCAGTTCCTTTTTTTCTTCATCACTTAATCTTAATTCCTCCTGTAAATATGATTCTTCGGCTAATTTTTCTGAATGTGAAGTCTCAACTCCCAAACAAAAAGTCAAGAGAGACTTATCAAAATCTTTTATGTTACCATCTGAGGTAAGTGATTGTTAAAATTAAAATAAATTTGTTACAAATTATGTATTAGCTTCGTTCGCGGTAAAAATCCTAAACTGATTCAGAATTACTAACTCATACTTTAAGCGCATGCCTAATTCATTATCAATTCTGAATTTTCACCGCGCTCGCAATCCCTGTTATATCTCAGTGTTTCAGGTATTCGCTCCGTGCGCGACAGCAGCGCCAATTTGTTTTGGTATTAAAGGACTATTTCTGCCTATACTGACAAATACAATTTTTAATAGAATTCGTAAATAAAAAGTATATATGTTAGTTTTAATAAAAGTATATGGATTTGTAAAACAAGTAAAACATTAATTTATTGTTATTATATATTTTTCCCGCTTAAATTAAAGAAAATTATGTATAATCAATAAAAATCAATTATAAAATATAGGCAGGCAACAGTATTTACTGGAAAATGTATGAGAAGTTACCTAAGTCTAATAAGTTGTCATTGAAGAATTAGCCTATTCTGTCGAAATAAAAAAATTCCATTTAATAAGTGTGAAGTTAAAATGTATAAAAGAGGATCGTTATTTATATTTTCATTTTTGTTCGAAAGAAAACATAGAATGAATGATTAAAACTGGTTTCCCATCAGTAAGTCACAAAATTGCATTCCATCCACATATTATAATCAAAGGCAGAAATCTTGAAATCTAGTCCTTGCTGAATGAACATTTAAGAATAAAGGGATATTAAAGAACATCGTAAAATGATAATTTATTGTTTATTTAAAACCTTTCAAGTTTCTAATGTCTACTATTTCCAGCAGTGCTGTTATTATCACAAAAATAAAGGTAATTTTTCTTCTTATTGTACACCTATCCATTTATTTCTTTGATTTAATTTCCACTTTGCTATAAGTGAAATTTTTTATATAAGTTTCACTGTTTTTTTTTTGCTAGTATTTGTACAATTTTCAACACAGCAACTCCGGTTGCTTATTGTGTTGTTTTTGCCTACTTTTTTAACAAAAAAGTAAAATGTATACGTGTATTTGATATACCAAAATTACAAAATATCGCCCTAAAATGCACGAATTATCCGCAGCTAGCGCTAGTATCGCTTTTGCTTCCCTTTCCATGACTTCGCACGGAGCGAATAGACAAGCCGTTCAAAACAAATAATAATTTTACAGTGAACGCAGGATAGAACCAATAGTTCAGTTCTTTTTGTTCCGCGAACGCTTTTTAACTACTGCGCCTGCGAAATCGTTACTATTAGAGTACGATTCAACTAAGAAAAAGCCACACACATCATACCTGACAAAGGCCGCAATAATTTGCCTCTCTCTCAGGTCCATCCCATTTAAGCGTCAGTGGCGTTTTGGCAATTTTTTTCGTTTTTCTAATATAGAGATACAATTGCTTAATAATTTGGTCCAGAATATAATTCGAACAGAAGCTATCGCGTAAACATGGATCCCTTATTATTGTGAGCCAAACTTCGGCGTTGCCAAGCTTTTACTTACGAATAAAAATACGGGTTCATTGCACTGATCTGTATTATACAGATCAGTGGTTCATCGGAAGACGGTGAAGACAGCGAGAGTACTATACTCTGTTTTTAAACTAGGAGGAGCGAATTGAAAAGACGCATTTACACAGGGAAAAGTAACTAGATTTGTTACTAAGAGCGAGTTTCGAAATATAGTCGTGTTCAAAATTTATGAAATAATTATCTTTATCGGCCTTAGTCGGTGAACGGCCAATGAGCGGTTAAGAAACGAATAAATGTCATACAAGTAATTTTTTAATTGGTCCCAGACAACGGTCGCAAATTTCACATTGTGATCTGAAATGTGTGTCTAAAACGAAATGTCACTGTCAAATTAAAGTCAATATGGTTGTTGATTGATGTTAAAAATACTTTTTTCTTGCTTTTGAAATCGACTTTTTGAGAATAACTATGATCTTTTTAAAATGGATATTAAATATTTAAGAAAATTGTTAATGGAATATCCAGGTGTAGCCAGGTTAGTATAAAATATAAAGATCTGTTTACATTTTTAAGGATATATTTGTTATAGGTATAAAAAGTAAAAGTTAATCAGTGAATGACAAGTGGATCACACACTAACTGGTATCTCTTGTATGATTAATGTGGATATTATGGCTTATTTAGTGTTAACCCATGGTTAATGCACTAGAGGGCAAATAAAGGCATTCAAAAGTTTACAGGCCTATGAGTCAGAATTTGTTTTGAAAACTGGAACCAACATTTTCATAACACTACATGTCAACATACATTTTTTAAAGTGAACTATTCATACATACCTATGTATTAATTTTAAGTATTTTTAAAATATTTTTTGTGAAAGTAAAGGTTAACTCATTGTGCCAAATTAAGATTATCCCTAAAGTAGTAGATGATGTTTTAAATGTTATAACAATTTTGTAAATAGTTTTATTCTATTCTAATAAATAAAATTTGCTTGAATATTTAGTTACATTTTAATCATTTTGGTTAGAAATTCATCAATTTTTAGTTTTAAAAAATCAGTAATAAATTAATGTTTTTCTAAAATACTTCGGAATTCATCTCTTCATGGTAATCTCCCATCTTTTTACCTTCAAAAACCAATAATGCATTTTCTACAAAACCTTCAGAATCAGCATGTAAAATAATAAGGTGTCTTCCCTTTCTTGTAAGGATTTTCAGGAATTGCTACCTATAATAGTACTCAGTGTAGAAGGATCCATAATTGTAGATTTTCAATACAATTGCTTACTGAAGAACTATTATTTACGAAATAAAGTAAAAAACTAAGTAATGGATGAGATATCAAATTATAAAATGTCAGAACTGGACAATATCAATTATTAGCTGATATTCATGCTAAAAAGTAATGTATGAAACTGACTGTAATCTGACCAATCAGAAGGCTACAGAATTGCCAACTTAAATTCAAATCGCTCCTCTTAGTTTAAAAACAGAGTATAATAGTTCATTAACGGACGAACTAGGATGTACTCCTCTAGTTTCACTTTTTGCACTAGTTGCATAAATAACTATTATTTTAATTGTAATAAAAATCTTAAATTACAAAATTGTGTTGCTATTTTTATTTACTTCCCACTGAATGTTTTGCAAGTCAAAGTCGAAAAATATATGTAATGTTATTTTAGTTTGGTTATTTAGGTAATATACAAATGTTTAAATCATTAAAATTTAACTTTTTAATCCAATAAATGTTTTTTGTTGGGAAACTGCTTTAATTCTTATTTAAATAAGAGCCTACGCCACTGGTATATCGATCTGGAGCAACGGAGAAGGAATATTTTAAAGTGAGGCAGACGATGACTAGTTGATGACCTCCGTTCTAAGTTGAATCGTACTCTAGTAATAATTCGGTTCAGGATTCTTACCGCGAACAAAGCTATTGTTAAAAAATGTAGAAATGGATGATGTACAGCCGACAAAACTAATTTCTCTCCTATTCCAAAGGAATCCAAAAGTAAACACAAAAAATTCGCTACAAAATATTTTATTTTAGAAAACTGGCAAAATGTTTAGTATGTATGGGACCTTATTGGTAATTTTGAGTACAAAATTTTATCTAATTTTAAAAATAATCAATAATTATAAAAAGTCTTTACAAAAACATACCACATATTCCTTGTTTGTATTCATGTTTTACTAAATAAATTTTTCTCTAAAACCTATACTTAAAATTAACACGTTCACTGCTGTCGTGCTTTTTATTGCAATTTACTCGGGTTAAGAAGGTTGTTTCATATGAGTTCAAAGTTTTAATTTTTTCAAATATTCATCACCTCTACAATGAAAATCTCGGATAAATTCTTAAATGTATCTCAGTTATATGGAAGTTAGTAACTGTTCCAAAATATATCTCGATCATATTGACCGAGACGGCGGTTAACGTGTTAAAATACAAATTTCATTAAAACCATGGAGAGTAATCAAGTCTTATCAAGAGTAGTAAATGCGTTGCAATCCAAATTTCTTAAACTCCCTTTAATTCCATTGGCGTAGAAATTTTAAAAGTGCGAGTAAAATCAAGTTCTACGCCTATGGATTAATAGAGAATAATTTTGAGACATTTTTTTTGTCATATAATACTCTGCCAACCTATAAAGGAGAAACTAATAATTGTAACTTCAGGGTCCTTTAGCGACCAAACTGAGCAGTTTTTTACTGAGGTAAGTTTACTTAAATCAGCTTATTTTGGTCTAAAGAATAAGTGGTATGTTTTTGTAAAGACTTTTTACAGCCTGTATAATTATTTATCTGCAAATATGTACTTCATATACAACAATCTTAAGAGCATAGCAGTATCTAAGTTCAGCTATTAAGTTTCCCATTAGATGTTTGACTTTTAAGCAAAGATCATACCCAAAAACAAAAACTTGATATTTCAAAGGAATAACACCATTGTAAACCTCTGGACCTTAGTGAATACTTTTCAGATCTTCCAAGGTATACTTTGAAATTTCTCTCTCCGAAATATCACCATCTGTGAAAGATCTTTCCAACACTTACCTTAGTACAAAGTTGCTTAGTTTGGGCGCTATAGTTTATTTGAAAATGCATGATAGCACAGTTTTTATGGCAAAGGTCTATATACAGGATTGTTCAAAGTAGAAAAAAGTAAATATTGATAATAATAATAAACGTCATTATTTTAATAAGCCTCGACGGAGTCCAGCATAGCTGTTCCACTCAAGGGAGTACCAAATACAAACATTTCATATAATACAAATATACATTCTTATTTAGATTTAAATTATTTAATATACATTTTATATAGACACATGCAATAAGAAAATTAACAATACATAAACACAAACTGTAAAACAAAAAAATTTTGTTCATTAATTTTTTAAAGATTTCTAGAGATTTATTTTTACATTGATCAGGTAGAGAGTTATACCGGGTGTCCGCGCGAAAACTTTAAATGGAATTATTTCTGGTGTTTTAAAATATATCGACTTGAAATTTTGGAAGGTCAT